TCAATGAGCTTGAACCTCAAGGGCTGGCTGGGAGTGTTGACCAGCCTTGTTTGTATATCGATGTCCTCATGATGGTACTCCAGATGAAAATTCTGGATCATCTAGAAAAGATTTATTTAAGCAGATTCAGTCTTTGAAAATGTGAAAGAAAACAGAATGTAAAATAACAAATTGCACTTCTATGAATAATTTTTTGCATGAGGATTGACTCCACTAAAAACTCTGCAATGCAATGGCAGCTAAATGGTAAATCAGAAGTCTCAGAAAGCACAACAGAGATTGATTGCGCTCTGACTTCAAGGACCAAGAGGCACATGAAAGTATTGGAACACTGGTGGGAAATTCAAGTTTCAATTTACTTTTGTAAGAAGCAGCCACATTTCCTGTTCTGCAATTCTTCTCCCAATGCACATGCGAGCCCCATGACCAAATGGGATGGAGGCAAATGCAGTCGCTTCATCCTTCTGCCCACGTAGCCACCGCTCTGGCTTGAACTTCTCAGGCTCAGGATAATACTCCTCCAGACGTGATGCAATATAGTTCATGGTGATTAGATGCATCTGATCATAAACAATAAATCATCACAGTATTGTTCAGTTATTTCAACGAGAGATATTTACATCAAGACAGCTCACCCCTTTAGGAATGTGATATCCTGAAAGGACAATGTCACAATCCAACACCCGAAGTGTACCAACAAAGACTGGATTCAACCTACAGATGAGAAGTACTCTCCTCTATAAACAATTGCAAATAATTAAAGCATTTGGCTTTGAGGTGGGAAAAGTTTCACCTAAGTGTTTCCTTGATGCAAGCTTTCACAAATGAGAGCTCATTCAGGATCTTTGGAGTGATTGGCATATCCTTGGAGGGCAATACCTTCTTCACTTCCTCATAAAGCTTCTCCTGCTTCTCTGGGTTCTTTGCCAGATGGTACATGGTAAATCCAACTGTGTTTGAGGTCTGCCAAGAGATACACCTTGATATACTGAACCTGTAGCTGACTTGACATTGAACTGAGAAACAAGTGAAACATACTGTATCAATGCCCCCTAAAAGCATGTCAAGGATCATCACAAGCACCTCTTTTCGAGTCAGGTCTGTCCTAGATAGTAAGAGCTCCAGGACACTGGGATCTCCCTCTACACTTGCTCCTCTCTCCTTCAGAATTTTAATTGACTCATCAATGAATTTCAAGCTGATTCTATAGAACATACAGAAAGGCTGATCAGTTACATGAATGAATGAGGTCCTTTACCAATGAGTGCACTACTCACTCCATGTGTGTTCTCTGAGAGTGAACCAGCTTCTTCCAAGATGGAGTTGGAAAGAATTTCCACCAAGGCAAAACTCCCTGTTCAGTTCTATTTATGGCTGCAAACATGTCATTAACAGCTTGTATCATCCTCTGTGGGGGAGAATCCTCACTGAGATTGGGCTCAAGGCATCCCAATCTCCTGTCCAGTGCCACCAAACTTACAGCTGGAGGAATAATACAGCATTTCTTCAACAACATGCTAGTCATACATCATGAGACTGCCTGGAGTGATGCATATGCAAATGAATCTCACATTCCAAACCCCATTTGTAGAGTTCATTGATGAAATCTGCTGGTAATTCTCCATCAGTATCCCTAATTGACTTCATTATTTCTACAAATTCTTCAGCCACCTCTTCCATGGGTTTGAGGTACAGAAGAGTTGACTTAGGTTTCAACATGCTCTGCTGAACCCTGCTTCTAATCTTGTACCACTCCTCCCCATTCCTGCAGGTAGAAACTAAAAATAATAATTTTTCCTGATAGGAGTATTACCCCTCTAGCATCATAGAAACTTGAGTTAAAAAAAAAAAAGTTTAAAACTCATTCCATCAACCGAGACTGATTTTCTTGGAATGTTTCTGAAAGGCTGATCATAGATAATCTTGTAGAATATATTGATTTTTCCATTAAGTTTCCATGGTTTCATGAAGGCAACGATGTGATTCTTGGCTTTAGCCATTTACTCCAACTGTCATTTAAACACAATTGGAAATCCTTGAAACGTTACACATCAAAGCACAAGGCTTCCCAAGACAATGTGAGTGTTTCCATAATGTCAGAGCAATCATATCATGCTTCTATTCAGTGAAGACATCAGGCAGGTACTGAAAGCGTTAGATTAAAGAAAAATATTATTATTTAGACTAGACCAATTTGTGGTTTTTCCACTTAATCCAGAATTTTCAGTGTTAAGGCACAAGCAACTAGAAAAATTGTAGGGTGGATGGCATGCTAATTAGCATTCTAGGCAGCAAGCTACAAGGTCTATAATAAGATTCCACAGGCCTACTGTGTGTACCTCACTGTAACTATAGTTTTAATGATGTCAGAGGTATAGGCTTTTATAAGGCAGAGGTAGAGGCTTTTATAAAAGCATGTATTAAAATAAAAAGCATACGCCATGAGAATGCCAGGGTTTTGTAGATGTTCCTCTAGGTATTTTTGCCTCACTTCCTTTAGTGACATCAGTCCAGGTCGTTCAGGGGTTTTCCCCTCCAGTTGGAACACCATCTCAATGTCTTCTGGCCTTACGAGGTTGACAATGGTGAATCGAAGGGGTATGACATCCCTCCATATTGGTCCATACTTCATATATCTGGACCAAAAGAACTTATGGACAGCATTCTTGTCAATTGGTGTGGCTAAAAAAGCACAGGTAATTTCAGATGAAGGGAATTGGATCACAACCAGATATCTAGTGGACTTTGAAAATCACATACACCGAAGGAATGGGATGGCAACATCCCACATTGAACCAAGAACAGGGATGCTTCGGGTTCCAGGGACATCTTGAAATGGCAATGGAGTCTTCTTAGCTACTGATTCACCACCATAGGATGTGTCTGTTGCCTTGGATCGATGTGAAATGAAAGTAACCTGCCAGGCATGCAAGCTGCCTATGATTCCCCTTCCAGGCAAGAGCACTCTCATCCTCTTTCATAGAAATTTGTGAATAATGAGAAAGTCAGAGGAAAGTGTAGCTTATTTCATTCATATTTGAGATATTAAGCAAACTGGTGTATTAAACTAATAGAAACATTCCAATAGGGAACTTTCATATCAAGGATTGGGAGGCTGAGGAGTTTTATCAGCTATAATGGACAGATATTTCAATTACTATACCAATTTTTATTTACCAGAGTTTCCATGTAAATGGATGACCAGCATGGTGCTGTCCTGGCTTCAAAAATAACCTACTTCAGGCTCTCAGTTAAAAATCACTAACATCAATAGGAAAGGGAGGATGATAGATGAGACTTTGAACATAGCTAAATAAGCAGCAAGAACTGCCGTTTGTTTGCAGGATGACATTGGGGTTTCATGTTATATGCACCCAGAAAACATCAGAGCAGGAGGTGAAGTAAAAAATCTCTTCCTCCACTCACATGGATTCCTCACTGTTGATTTTTGATGATAGCTTCTGGAACTTGTGGATTGTAGTTTTACCTCTGGGAGCAGGTTACATCCTTGGCATTTTTTTGTCCAAAAATACAGAGCAAATGAACATGTGTGCCAAAACTCAGAATTAGGACATTATGAAAGAAAGCCAGAAGTTCTGAAGAAGTTATGTTCTGAAGTCATAACTGTTTTATTAGCTATGATGTCACAACAGACCATACAAATCCAAATATTAATATAAGGGAGCCATAATTCACTGCCATCTCTCATGGAACACCTAGCAAGATCTTTAAAAAGGTACAAAGAGTGCAAATGTTAGTGCAGCAGTAAAGTCAGTAAGTATATTTGCACCTCAACATGAAATCAAACCACTGCATTTCTACCCATGCAGCATGTACACAAGTGATACATATGAAAGCAGACACCAGAATAGGCTTAGCCAACTCACTGGGAATAGAAGACCTGATCTCTTTAACAAATTAAGGGACAGGATTTCAAAATTGCAGCTTGTTACTTTTCTGATGGCTTAGATCAGGAGTGTCAAACATACAGCCCATGGAGGTGGTTCATGTGGCATGCCATCTGTTCTTAAAATTTCCTTTTGGAATGACTGTAAGCAAAAATTTCAGTGAAAAATTATGGGTGCGGCCTGCAGGAATCTGCAGGGTACAGAATGTGGCCGAACAACCGATTTGAGTTGAGACCCCTGGCTTAGATCATCATCAGGATCCTGATGATGAGAAAGAGTTTCCTTTCAATTTTCCAGTGAGATAAAAATTCATTTCAAGGCAGCAACATGGATATCCCACCACCAACTCTGAACAAAATCATGTTAAAAATCATGATAAGTGCTTCCTTTTATTCATTCATTCAGACATTAATATGAAGCTCTATACTGGAATCTACTATAAGACTTACTTATCTCATTGCAAGAAGTCTTGAGAAACATTTTTCACTGGTTCAAATGATGCTGAACAGAGTAAAGCTTCATTATGAGGCATTGGTATGAACTTCAGACATGATGTCAAGTCTCCATGCATTAACATGGTGCCCTTTGGAGAAACTGAAGAAATAGAAAAAGGCATCATGCAAATGGAGTCAATATAACAATTCCAGCTCATAAAAAGTAAGCAGGAGGAAAAATTCATTTGCACATGGAAATGTGCAAATGAATTCCTTTCCAAGGAATGCATGAATTCCATTCCAAGCCTGTCTTGAGCAACAAACATTCTGAATGAATGTACAGCAGGTTATTATTCTAAACATCTATCAGTGTTTATGAAAGAAGAGCATAAAAAAAGGAGGATAAAAGCATGTATTTATTTATTAATGCAACAAAGGAGATGAAAATACACCACCTTAAATATTCACCCCTATGAGGTATAAAGCATAAATTTTGACAAATGACTATTCAAGTATGGATAAAACTGATAAAAGTAAAAGATCTCCAAACATTTTCCAAGAAAAGAGTTGTGTCCATCTCAGGAAAATCCCATCACATTCAGATGAACAATACTGTAAAAATGCATGATCAGGACAGGTACACCAGAGGAACAATTGGTCAATTTCAAGGGGAGAGAGTGTCACAATGATACTCAAAATGTGAATTAGTTCACATTTTCAGTTACACAGATCATTACTAACCGAATGACCACATATTCACCTTTGAATGAAAAAATGACAAAAGCATCTAAAGATGAAGTACTCTTCATTGTCCCCAATTATTACAACAAATGGAGGTAGCATAGGATTTGCAGACCATATCCTGAGAAGCCAAGTAAATGATCATATTAAATGCTAAGCTTCTCCTTTTTCTTGTTAAGAAAGTGCTCATTGTGAAGCAAAATCTTAAACATTAGTTCTCTATTAATAATTAAAAAAATGAGGAATTCAGCAAATGCAATGCTTTCCAATTGGAGCCATACAGCAATTCCATACAAAAGAAAAGAGTACAAGAAAGAAATTGTCTCCAAGTGGAAATTGAGAGAACCCTTCCATGCCTGGTTTCATGGAGATATATCAGGCTAGGAAAAAAAGGAATGTTCTATCTCCAAGCATCCATTGACAACCCTGAAGAAAAAGCTGCTGAAAGCAAGCATCTATTAAGATATTTTGCTGAGAAAACAAAAGGAAATGTTGTCACTTCAATAAGGCACTCACTGAGAGAAAGATGCGGCAATAATACCATATATAATACTGTTAAGAGTATGAGGAATCCAAACACCAGGTACAGAGTTGAGTACAGATGGTGAACCATCTCTCATTCAGGTAAGCAATACCATAAATTCCAAAGACCAAGCACAGGTACAACAGAGAAACAAATCATTGTATTTTGGATGAAAAAATATCAGAATATTGCATGGAACTAATGAATATCTGTCATACAGCTAGTCACAACTCCATTAACACACTGTCTTCCATGTCCATTTTCTGCCTATTGCCTCATTCCTCCCTCAGAGGCCAAAAGAATGTCTAGGGCAACAATGCAACCATAATGGTCATTAGATTGCTTTCCCCAAGTCCACACATCTGGAACATCCAAAGTTTGATATATGGACACTGACAGGTCATATGGCCTCATAGTGATTCAACATCACTTAGGGGCCATAAAACCCACCGGTGTTTGCATACAAGCAAAGTAACTTTCAAGGCTCCCAATAGTAGGCATGAAGAATGCGGTTGTTCCAGCTGCAGACTTTGTAGCTTAATATAGTATTTCATGATATAATGGTCCACTCATGGATTTATTTAAAATAAGCTTGCTTTTCATAACATCAAGTAAATGACCAACCAAAGAATCTATAAGAGATGCACCTACTGCTTCGGAGTTCAGTGAGGCAATGGATTCTAGACAGGCTTACAGAAAAACATAAAAAATATCAACATTCTGGGCCAAGTGCTCCCATAAACCTTCATAAACCTGAAATGTTTAACTGAAAAGACACTCATTGAATATAGAGAAGATTTTGTGGCAAGAGAAAGTTGCAACATTTTTGCTGATAATTCTTGTAATTGCCTGCAGCAACTTTCTTGCATATAATTAACTTCAGGGGACATTATGTAAACCAAAAACCCATACAGGGAGACCCAAAAAATATAAAGACTTTCAAATATGAAGTGGCAAAAGACCCAATGGTGGATAGCACCACAGAAAAAAACCCAAATGACCCTTGGGTGGGTCACATGGCAGTCAACGTGTTAAAAAAATTTCAAAACATCCAGCCATTCCAAGAAGACTCAAAACAGAACTAACACCAGTTGAAATTAAAGAAGATCCTTTAGAGGATGACCCTTTGTGCTTTGTTACAAAGAATGACAGATACAAATAACAACTATCCTTGCTTATAAAACAGGGCTAGAAAAAATCCCTCATAGTCAGTAGCCAGAGTAGTGAGGTAGAACCCTGGCAATATGTAGAACATCACATACACTCCATTACGGAAGTAAGAATTCTTTGACAATTGTACATATTATTTGTTGCCAAACTTGCCATTTTACAAGGCAATATTAGGCACATTAATCATGAAATCTAGAAGAAAAAATCCATGCCAACAAAAAAAATATTCCAAGAAAATGCATAATGAAGGTGCACTCAAATTTGCCAAATTCAAGGAATCAGCAACAGCTAATGCTAAGAATAATACCATGAAACACATTCTGGCACCAAATAAGAACCAATACTTCATTGTGCTTTGAGTGAAATAAACATTTGGGTAGGTAATATAATTAATAACATTCAGGGAGGAAATATTCTTATCAAAACCAAAAGCATTCAGAGAATACCAAAGTTATTAATGTTTGGCTTTGAACTTTGGAAATACAAAAAAATTATATTGAAATTCCATCTTCATCTAAACAAAAAAATTACACAATTACACAATCTACTCAGAAAAATGAATGCAAAAAAAAAACTTGTATCAAAGGTATCAATAAATGCGATCAATGAGCTTGAACCTCAAGGGCTGGCTGGGAGTGTTGACCAGCCTTGTTTGTATATCGATGTCTTCATGATGGTACTCTAGATGAAAATTCTGGATCATCTAGAAAAGATTTATTTAAGCAGATTCAGTCTTTGAAAATGTGAAAGAAAACAGAATGTAAAATAACAAATTGCACTTCTATGAATAATTTTTTGCATGAGGATTGACTCCAGTAAAAACTCTGTAATGCAATGGCAGTTAAATGGTAAATCAGAAGTCTCAGAAAGCACAACAGAGATTGATTGTGCTCTGACTTCAAGGACCAAGAGGCACATGAAAGTATTGGAACACTGGTGGGAAATTCAAGTTTCAATTTACTTTTGTAAGAAGCAGCCACATTTCCTGTTCTGCAATTCTTCTCCCAATGCACATGCGAGAACCATGACCAAATGGGATAGAGGCAAATGCAGTCACTTCATCTTTCTGCCCACGTAGCCACCGCTCTGGCTTGAACTTCTCAGGCTCAGGATAATACTCCTCCAAACGTGATGCAATGATGTTCATGGTGAAGAGAAACATCTGAACTTAAAGAAACACCATAGTATTATCCAACCAATTTATGGTAGAAGCATTTCCATCAAGACAGCCTCACCCCCTTAGGAATGTGGTATCCTGAAAGGACAACATCACGGTCCAACACTCGAAGGGTTCCAGAAGCAATTGGATTCAACCTGAATAAGGAGACCTGTCTATTACAAGCGATGTAACATAACTTGAAGCATTTCCCTTCATGTGAAGAAAGTCTTTACCTTAAGGTTTCCTTGATGCATGCTTTCACAAATGAGAGCTCATTCAGGACCTTTGGAGTGATTGGCATATCCTTGGAGGGCAATACCTTCTTCACTTCTTCATACAGCTTCTCCTGTTTCTCTGGGTTCTTTGCCAGATGAAACATGGTGAATGCAACTGTGTTTGAGGTCTGCCAAGAGATACACCTTGATATACTGAATATGTAGCTGACTTAACATTAGACTGAAAGACAGGTGAAACATACTGTATCAATGCCTGCAAAAAGCATGTCAAGAATCATCACAAGCACCTCTTTTTGAGTCAGGTCTGTCCTGGATAAGAGAATTTCCAGGACACTAGGATCTCTGTCTTCATCAACTCTCCTCTCCTTCAAATTTTTAATTGACTCATCAATGAATTTCAAGCTGATTCTATAGAACATGCAGAAAAGATTATCAGTAAAATGGATGAATGATGTCTTGTGAGAAGTAAGTTTTATCAATGACTCACTCCATGTGTGTTCTCTGAGATTGAACTAGCTTCTTCCAAGATGGAGTTGGGAAGAACTTCCACCAGGGTAAAGTTCCAAATTCTGTTCTATTCATGGCTGCAAACATGTCGTTCACTGCCTCTATCATCCTCTGTGGAGGAGAATCTTTGCTGAGGTTTGGCTCCAGGCATCCTAATCTCCTATCCAAAGCCACCAGGCTCACAGCTACAGGAAGTATCCATCGCTTTTTTAAAAACTTGTTTGTCATGTCTGATGAGACTTTCCATTAGGAATGCCAAATACTAATGAACCTCACATTCCAAACCCCATTTGTAGAGTTCATTGATGAAATCTGCAGGCAATTCCCCACTGGCATCCCGAAGTGACTTCATTCTTTCTACAAATTCTTCAGTCACTTCTTCCATGGGTTTGAGGTACAGAAGAGCTGATTTTGGTTTCATCATGCTCTGCTGAACCCTGCTTCTAATTCTGTACCATTCCTCTCCATTCCTGTATGTGGAAACTTTTTGACATGAAAACCCTCAGTGGAGAGTAAGTGCAATGCTAAAATTGTATGCACTAGAAGTTAAGATAAAAACATTACCTCATATCTTGAGGTTTATGTTATTTTTAACATGTACACAAGAGACTGGTGGTCATCTATCTTGGTGGGTATAGTATTTCTAGTGCTAATTGTTGTTCATGGTATAATAAGAACTTCTAACAACATGAAGTACATTTAATGAGGACTATTAGGATATTGCTCACAGCTTCCCCACTGGATGCAGAAGAGAGGTGATAGTGCATGAATAGTTTGAAGATCAGGTCTATTAAAAGTAAATTTTTCCAAATACTGAAAAAAGCATTAAATTATTTCTCTTTTATAACCCCCTAATTCCTGATATCAAAAATATAAATGATGTAAAAACAAATTTTCTCCATTTGAGCAAACACAGTGAAATGTCATTAACCACAAAAATACAAATTCCAAAGTAGGATACTGGGACTTAAATGTACCAACATGCTTCAAGGTTGTGCATCTCAATATGAACCTGCAAAATATTTTTAAAAAATGCAGGTCTCCTGAGTATTGCCAGGACATTCTTGACATTCAATGGAAACATATGTGTAAATTCTCATGATTCTCCTAAGGTACCAGTGGCAGGTGCCTTAAGCTCTGAAAAGTTGTGTCATACTACTTTGATAAGAAGAAATGGCTTCAGCAAAAAGGAAATCCATTATTGGAATATAATTGAAAAATCTCTTTTAAACTAAAGGACATGTCTCATTGGGCATCAACAAATAAAACAGTCCCATTTCATATGTTCATGATGTGGAAATTCATGCAATTAGCATGGCCAAATTATGATTGGTGGCACAATTTTTTCCACTCCAAGTAGAAAAACTAACAGGTCTGTGATCTAAGTTGATCACCATGGGGTTGAAGTCGACCCCCTGATATCAGTATATAAGAGCTTACGCAAGGAGTACGCCTGGATTTTGAAGCTCCTCATCAAGGTATTTAAGGCGCACTTCTTTCATCGATTCAAGGCTAGGTCGGTCAGGGTTTTTCCCCTCCAGCCGGAACACCATCTCAATGTCTTCTGGCCTGACAAGGTTGACACTGGTGAATCGAAGGGGTAAGACTTCTCTCCATATTGGTCCATACTTCTTGTATCTGGACCAAAAGAACTTATGGACAGCATTCTTTTTCATTGGTGTTGCTAAAAAAAAACAAAAAAAACACACTTTTAGATGTAGGGCAACAGATCACAACCACAATCAGATACCCAGTGAACTTTCACATACATCGAATGAATGGGATGATGGCATCCCACATTGAACCAAGAATGGGGATGCTTCGGGTTCCAGGGACATCTTGAAATGGCAATGGAATCTTCTCAGCTACTGACTGATCAATATAGGACACTCCTGTAGCCTTGGACCGACATGAAATGACAGTGACCTGCCAGGCATGTGAGTGGCCTATGATTCCCCTTCCAAGTGAAAGCAATCTCATCCTCTCTCCTAGAAATTAGAGGACAATAGGAAAGTCACAGAAAATGTAGTCTATGCAAAGAATTGTGACATTACACTTATTAAAACATTTAACTAATAGGAATATATCTACTGGAAATTTTCATATCAGGGATTTTGAATGCTGCAGTTTCATCAGTTATGAGGACAAATATTCTATCATCTATACCAATATTTCATATGCCAGTTTCCATGTAAATGGAGAACCAGAATGGCACTGGTCCTGGCTTGGAAAAAAGTGCACTACAGTCTCTCTTTTCAAAATAGTTCATCATAAAAGTAAAGAAAAGAAATTATATGTGATATTGAATATTCTAAAATAAGCAACATTCCTTTTTTTTCAGAATGACAAAAATGGGGAGAATACTTTCCCAATTTCCTAAGTGCAGGAAAGATCAGACCAGAAAGTAAGGTACACAATCTTTGGCACTTCTTGGTACAAGAATAAGGAACATCTGAACATGCATATCATAACTCAGATTTACAACATGAGAACAATGGCAGGAAAACTTCTATCATGTAATGGTTATTTTACTTATAATAATATCACAACAGATAACAGTACAAAACAAAAAATTAAGGTGCAATAAATCACTGGCATCTCTTTTGTAACAACTGGCAAGATACCATATTTATTGGATTCTTAAGACAATAATTTTTCCTTTCTTTCACTTTTAAATTTTCAAGGGTCATCCTAGAATAGGCCACAAAATAGAACCACTTGCTGAAAGGCTGCTGGATGCATGCATCAAATGACATCAGCTATTGCCAACAACTGCTGAAATTCAAGCAATGAAAAAAATGAAAATCCTTCATCTCAGAATAGAATTAATATGGTGCTTAAAAAGTATTTCCACCTCAATGTGGAATCTAATCCCTGCAGGATTAAAGCAAGTAATGCAAGTAGACCTGAATAGGCTCTCTCAACCTGAAAGAAATATAAGATCGACCTTCTTAAACCTTTGCAGAGTGAGTTTTCTTTGTGTTGGACACTTTGGAAAGAAATTCATCAAGGTCCCTCAGCGATATATATCTTGAAAGTTTTTCATTATTATTACTATGTGGTAGATAATAATTGACTGTAGTGTGTCAAAGGCCAAATGCAGTGAACTCAAAAAGGATCATTTGCACAAAATGGGAAATTACATTATTGTAAAAATTTTGAAAACGTGTCTTTATGAGCATACTGCCCAGAAGGTTCATAAAGTTTTCCTTTTTCCCAGTTTCTCACTCTTCTGATGGCTATGATCAAATCAGAATGCAATGTCCACAAGAGTCTACCTATGAAACTTCCAGTGTGATAAATATTCATTTCAAGGGAATGTGTGATCAGAAAGTACTGATTTCTAGTGGTCCCAGAATCAACTCTGGCCAAAATCATGTTAAAAATCCTGATGAGTACTTCCTTTTTAGTTATTTATTCAACCAATAATATAGTCATATGCAAATAACACACTGGAATCCCTTACAAGTCTTATTGCATGAAATCTTCAGAAACATTTTTCACAGGGGCCCAAGGATGCAGAATAGAGCAAAGCTTCATTATGAGGCATTGGTATGAACTAAAGACATGCTACCAAGGCTAAATGCAGTACATTGGTAATAGACAAAAACTTGGCAACTGCATTAGCTGCAAATGAGGTCAACTTTATAATTCCTTCTCATAAAAAGTAAACTAGAAAAGAAATTCATTCACATGTGGAAATGACTCCATCCATTTCATGCCTGCTTTAAGCAATGTACATTATGCTCGAAAATATAAGATCTTCTTACGCTAAATAATGTTTCTATTTCTAAGTAATGTCTGATGCTTCCTAATGAAGAACTGGTAAACACATGTGTTTATAGATCCTGCTGAGGAGACAGAAGTATACCATCTGAAGTATACACTCCACAAGGGAATAAAGCACAAAAAAATGAATGCTAGCTATCCAAGTATTGACAGAAGTAAAAGAACTCTAAATATTTTTCAGGTACTGAGTTGTGTCCATCTCTCAGAAGAAACATCATCACATCCAGATAAACAACATTATCAAATGCATGACCAGGCACATGTACGACAGAGGAACAATTCATCAGGTTCAAGAGGAGAAAATTATGGACCATCACACTAGAACATATTTAATTTATATATATATACCAGACTGCTTTCTCAAAAAAAAACCAAAACATCCAACAATATTCAAAATACTCACAATCCAGAAGCATGACCTCTTCATGACTTGACATAACTGTTTTGAAGGCAAATCCTTGTGCTTTTAATATGATTTTAAAAAATACATTGGTTTTGGAAAAAGGATTTGAAATATCTGATCCATATTAGTACTATAGTAGGGTTATAGCTGAATCATATTCATTCTATGATGACCATATTTCAATTGACTAGGGATGTAAGTCACATTCAAGATGGAACTGATTATAGAGGCAATCCATAGCCTTATCATTCCATTAAGAATACCTACTGATCATAAAGACACTTTTGAATACTAAACTAATTCAAATATAGGATAAAAATTTCTCGATACAAGCAATATAGCAGATGAACAAATTCTGATTCTGGTAAGTGTCAATGTAAAAATGAACCTTAAGCATATATGCCTGCCATCACTGTGCACCACATCATCATAGTCATGCGAATGATGATAGAGAATTTTCCCCAGTTCTAGAGCAGTAAAGATTGGATATGATAAAATACTGCAATACATTCTTGGCAGTAAATAAAAATGTAAACATCCTGTCATACCTCTGATCACCTTATCTTATATCTGATGCCCAGAGAATGAGGAAGGACTTGAGAGTTAGACCAATAAGTTCTAAATCAATAAACTCTGTCAATAAGTCTGAACCTCAAAGGTTGGCTGGGAGTATTGACCAGCCTTGAGAGAATGCCGATGTCCTCATGATGATATTCCAGGTAGAAGTTCTGGATGACCTGGAATAGAGTCAATCAAACAAATTATGTATTTGGAATAGAGATAAGAATCCTGATGTAACAAAGTAGAGCTCTCTCATGTTAACTCTTGATTGTATTGGAAGATGGGAGAAAGATGAAAACTTAGAGACTAAGTGGGAGAAATTGAGACCTCTACTGACTTTGGTCAGAAGAAGCCACATTTCTTGCTCAGCAATTCTTCGTCCGATGCACATGCGAGCCCCATGACCAAATGGGATGGACGCAAATGCAGTTATTTCATCCTTCTGCCCTCGTAACCATCGCTCTGGCTTGAACTTCTCAGGCTCAGGATAATACTCCTCCAGATGTGATGCAATATAGTTCATGGTAATTAGATGCATCTGATATTAAAAAGGAAATCATAATAGTAATATTCAATTATTTCAACAAGAGATATTTCCATCAAGACAGCTCACCCCTCTAGGAATGTGATATCCTGAAAGGACAATGTCACAATCCAACACCCGAAGTGTACCAACAGTGACTGGATTCAATCTAAAGATGAGCAAGTACTCTCTTCTATGAACTATTCCAAATAATTCAAGCATTTGGCTTGAGGTGGGAAAAGTCTCACCTAAGCGTTTCTTTGATGCATGCTTTCACAAATGAGAGCTCATTCAGGACCTTTGGAGTGATTGGCATATCCTTGGAGGGCAATATCTTCTTCACTTCTTCATACAACTTCTCCTGCTTCTCTGGGTTTTTTGCCAAATGATACATGGTGAACCCAATTGTGTTTGAGGTCTGCCAAGAGATACACCTTGATATACTGAACATGTAGCTGACTTGACATTGGACTGAAAGACAAGTGAAACATACAGTATCGATGCCAGCAAAAAGCATGTCAAGGATCATCACAAGCACCTCTTTTTGAGTCAGGTCTGTCCTAGATAGTAGGATTTCCAGGACACTGGGATCTCTGTCTTCATCCGTGCTTCTCTGCTTCAAAGTTTTCATGGATTCACCAATGAATTTCAAGCTGATCCTACAGGGCACAACAATAGTAAAATAGGAATGTATTTGGATGGGAGATAATGAGAATGAAATTCACAACTACTCACTCCATGTGTGTTCTCTGAGAATGAACCAGCTTCTTCCATGAAGGAGTAGGGAAGATCTTCCACCAGGGCAAAGCTCCCTGTTCAGTTCTATTCATGGCTGCAAACATGTCATTCACAGCTTGTATCATCCTCTGTGGAGGAGAATCCTTGCTGAGGTTTGGCTCCAGGCATCCTAATCTCCTATCCAAAGCCACCAGGCTCACAGCTACAGAAAGTATCCATCACTTTCTCAACAATTTGTTTGTCATGCATTATGAGACTTTCCATTAGGAATGCCAAATACTAATGAACCTCACATTCCAAACCCCATTTGTAGAGTTCATTGATGAAGTCTGCTGGTAATTCTCCATTGGCATCCCGAATTGACTTCATTCTTTCCACAAATTCTTTAGCCACCTTCTCCATGGGCTGGAGGTAGAGAAGAGCTGACTTTGGTTTCATCATACTTTGCTGAACCTGGCTTCTAATCTTGTACCAGTCCTCTCCATTCCTGCATGCAGAAACTTCCAATATGAACTTCCTTGCAGGAGAATGAGGTCTATTGCATTTAAGAAACTGGAATTTTATAAAAATAAAATTCTGTCTTAAGGTGCAACAAAAGTCAATGTTGACATGCCTACAAAAGACTGACCATTGAGTACCTTTTAAGTGAATAGAAGTTATTTGAGTGTTTCTTTGTTGGATCATATCAATTCATAGCATAAAAAATTGGTATAATCAGGTATGAGAGAATGCTCCAAACCGATGCCTCTCCTTAACCTGAGTAGTTTGATATACAGCAATTTTAACAGCCTAAGCCAAGGCTAAAAGAGACTATTAGTATTTTTAGGGCTTATTGTAGGCTGAAGAAAGAAAAAATGCACCACAAACTGGCGCACAATTGGATCTATATAAATAAAATTTGATCCATAAAATGGAAAAGGAAGCAATTAATGGCTTCACTGAAGTACTGGAAGTGGTTGACAAAGCAAAAGTGACAATTCATGTAGGTTATATGTCACACTCAAGACTTCTTAAAAGGACTAATGGAAGTTGCTTCAAGTTTCAGCATCCATGTCATGTTGTATACACATAATAAACAATGCCTTCTCTCTTTCAAGTGCCATAACACGATTTTAATATTTAAAATGTTTATTTAGATGGAATGAGAACTTGTGTCATTCTTTCATCATGAGGAATTTCCAAGCTGCAAGGGCATGATGCTAAACAAACTACAGGTTGGGAGGTGTAATTCTTAGCACTTCAGGCAAGCAAGCTACTAGGTCTGGCATCAGTGTCTAAGAGCATAACCCTACTGTGTGTCCCTACAACCCCAATCTCAAGCTGAAATTGTGCATACAATGAAAGCATACGCAATGAGAATGCCTGGATTTTGTAGCTGTTCCTCTAGGTGTTTTTGGCGCACTTCCTTTAGTGACTGAAGACCAGGTCGGGCAGGGGTTTTTCCCTCCAGCCGGAACACCATCTCAATGTCTTCTGGTCTGACAACATTGACACTAGTAAATCGAAATGGTAAGACTTCTTTCCAAATTGGTCCATATTTCTTGTATCTGGACCAAAGGAACTTATGCACTGCAGTCTGCTTGATTTTTGATGCTAAATAAAAACAAAATTTCAGCCACACACAGTGCATTAATTTACGACCACAACTAGATAAAAAGGGAAGTTTGAAAGTCACACACATTCAATGAATGGTAGAGTGACATCCCAGATGGAGCCAAAAATAGGGATGTTTTGGGTCCCAGGAATATCCTCAAAGGGCAATACAGTCTTCTCAGCTACTGATGGACTGACATAGGATGCTTCTGTTGCCTTGGACCGACATGAAAAGATAGCTCCATTCCAGGCACGCAAGCTGCCTTCAATCCCCCTTCCAGGCAGAAGTGATCTCATTCTATCTTACAGAAACAGATGAATATTCAGAAAGTTGGAGAAAGGGGTAAAAAGAAAAAAGAAAAATTTGCATTGAACAACTGAGAAGAATAATGGAGACTTCCATATCAGGGATTGGTAGGCTGGACTTTAATCAGCTTAAATATTCTAGCACCCATGCCATGTTTTGATCAGCCAGAGTTTCCATGCAAATGGAAGGCCAGAATGCTGGTCCTGGCTTGTAAAGAAACACATATCAAGTTCTTGGTTAAAAATCAATAAAGATGGTAGAAAAGGAAAGAGGACATATGTAATAGTGAACATTGTTGAATAAGCATCAATAAATACTCTTGTTTCTTTTTAAAACGACAAAAAGGGGAGAATATTTCTTTGCTTCATCACACCAGTCAGCATCAAAACATCCTCTTCCTCTTGCATAAATATGCACAAAGTATGGCGAAAAAAATTGCCTATGACTTTTAACCTAAATATCTCTGCTCACACTGGAGCAATTTTCATGAAACTTTTACAATGCATGCAACAGTATGCTTTCAAGTGATTTGCAAAATGCCATTCATATTTGTTGAGCTGAAGCAATATTATCAGCAATTACTGGAAAAACGTTAGACTTTGAGACTGGGTTAGAACTCTTGCTGGTAGTGAAATGGAGGAAACAATCAAGTGCTGTCCTTCCTGGTCATCAAGACCACATAAAACTCCGCTTCCATTTAAATTTATTCATTGGGCTGGCTGTCTCTTGCAGATGATTTTCATGTTCTTATTCTTAATGAATAGCAGAGAAATTAATCAATATAAATTCAGAGAGTTTTCACAAAGTTCTTCCAGAATTTCCCTTGTCTTATGTCAGCCTGAGTCTGCAGGGTATGAAAAAAATAAAAGCTCAACAACATGGAGAGTATCTCATGATTGCTTAAGTCACATATCACCAAATATGCTGAGGATGTAACATGTTTTCCTTTATTTGAGTCAACAAGCATGCAAAAATCCAATTATTCAAAAGCAGAGTTATAGGCAAAATAATATCCATGACAAGTTGGATGTTTAAAATTGTCAGTTCCTAAAAAAAAACAAAAAAAAAACAAAAGGAAATTCTTAATGAACTCTATGAAAACTCTCTGGATGGATACTCATTGATTCATCTTCTATTCATGAGGAAGAAGCTCATGAAACATCCAAGAAACAACCAGCCCAATGAATGAATGTAAATGGAAGAGGAGCTTGACATGTTCTTGATAACCAGGAAGGACAGTGCTCAAGTGCTTTCTCTACAGGTACTCCACTACTAGAAGGAGCTCCAGTCCATTCTCAATTCATAACTTCTTTTCAATAATTTCTGATATTGTTGCTTTGGTCTAATAACTTTGGGTGAAATATTAAGAATCAGTTGGAAACATACTCAGATATGCAAAGTGAAAATTTCACAAAAAAACTCTGAGTGAAAAGTCATTGGTATTTTTTTCCCATACCCTTTACATCCCTCATGAATTCAATGATGATTTCAAGAACCTGTGAATTGCAGTTATAGCTCTGGCAACATGTGGCATCTTAATGAGACATTAGAATCATGACAGCAAAATTTCTCAAAAGTCACACTACCCTTGTTAGGAATAAGAATATCACAACAGACAATAATCACTCATGATTTAAGGTACAGAAGAGAGTATGTGAAGTTTCATCAAAACTAGATTTGCATCAACCCTTTGTTGCATAAAAGCAAACTACATGAAATTATGGCTTCAAATTTGTCATACAATTTTGTCATAGCAACACAAGTGCTGAAAAAACATTAAAACATGCATCAACTTGAAACATGCAGCTGATACATGCATCCTGATTAGTCTACATCAATTAAACACTAAAAACTTGTTATTTCCTTCAAAGTTTTCATCTTGACACTGCCTCACAGTTTGGCCCTTGACAACAGCCCCATAATGAAGTGGCTTGAGAGAAAGAGAGGTATACTGGCACCTACAATGGAGCTACCCATTTCCTTGACTTCTCGGACCTTTGTCAATTTTTATCTCTGCACTGGCATGTCTCACAACCTTGAAACTTTGCTTGTCATAAGTTTAGTAGTTTTCCTCCCATGTTTCATCAACAAATATATTCTAGGCACCTGTTTCAGGTGATTAGTATGACCCCATAGCTGCATTTAAAACTGATTTTCTTTTCAGTCCTGCTTCTCCGTGAACATCCATCCCACACACTTGAAACTCTAATTGATTTCATGATACATTAATATGAACTTGAGTACCAAATTTCACTAGGATCGCTCAACTCAATCTTGGTCATGCTTTTCCTTTTGTCAATGAGTATATTTACCCTAAAACAAAGCAAGACATGAGCAAAAAAGTACTACTGGAAAGGATTCCTTTTTAGAGAATGAATGGGAGAGGAGGATTCAAGCATGATGTCCAGGGCCTCTGTGAAGTGCGTGAAAGCAATAGGCTTATATTCTGCCAAGACATGCACAACATTCAAATGTGATGCCAATTGGTTTCCCTAAATGCATCATGTCTGCATATGTGGACAGACAAGTTTAGGAGTTACGGGAACCAATAACATGCCTATGAAGAACATGTGGTTGGCCCACATGTAAGTTTGTTCTCTCAGAAGCACACTCCAGTGCTTTTGTGAAAATTCCAAAATCACTCTTTGCATATGAAATTATATAATGAGGGAGACCTTCACCTGTTTGCCACCTGAGGATATAGTAAAAGAAAACATGTGGAAGATACTGGGGAGTAGCACAGAACATTGACTATGATTTTATTCTGATGTTTGAGATGTCTACAAATATGGGAAAGATGTTTTAGTGAAAGTTTTGGAGAAAGGGGCTGCAAAATGAATTTTAGAAAGTGTCCAAAAATGTGGACACCATGCAACAAAGGGTTAACTACTGATAAGAACTCCAGTAGTCCACATAATAGTACTAAACCAGATACTAAGATATGCTGATTCCACATACATCATTTGAAATTTCATGCTAGTATGAGTAATATCAGAATAGATATTAAACTAGCCACATTTAGGAAGTGAGCACCACTCTGCAATGATCTGCCTTATACAAGGGATGATTGAAAAGTTTTTGGGCCTGAGGCACTTCCAGTTACATTAAAATTGAGAAGTATGCTGTGATGAATTTTCTAGCCTCCAAGGAGTCAATCTTTCAGCAGGTCTCTCAGTAGCTGAGAGGATAAAGTCCAAGTGACCCTTCTCTGCCAGATGATCAGCTAGAAAAAAAGACTCCTTAGAGATGAGAAAATTCATTGTGGCATTCTTCTTAATTTTAATACCCTTTCAGCAGACCCTTTGGTAGCACATGGGAAAAAATTAATGGAAGCTATATTTAATCAATGAATGAGATGAAAATTTGGCATTCACCATCAAAGACAGCAGTCTTCTCATACAGAAAGTAAGAATGGTGTATTGTAACTGAAAGTGCCTCAGGCTGAGAACTTTTCAATCACCCCTCCTACTTTTGGATATTGGAAAATGGTAATGAAAATAGATCATAAAGAATGGTGTCTTGATACAGCTCACTGGTATTCAATGATTCCCTTTTCAGGTACTCTGAGAAATGCTTGTACATCATAAAAGGTAGAATGGGTGATATACAGGGCAGTCATGATACATCAATGCATCAATACCACTATCAATGGTTGGAGGCATCAATTGTTTTTTCAACCATCATGATGTACCAGCAAATGATTTTAAAAGGGAAAATGTTCCATTGGATTTAGGTGAGTACAGTACAGTACAGTCTGTCCAGGTGGGAAAGGAGGAGGCAGCGTGACTCATATGGGCTTGTGATTTCTGTCACATTCTAATTGTGGAAATGCTGGGACTGACTATGAAAGAAGGGAAGGGAAAAGAAAACCATGTTAGATCAGAGACATGAAGTGGGAAAGGAGAGGGAGGGAAGACCAAGAATATTTTTATCTTTAGTTTCAGTCTTTGGCTTGATCTCATCAGGTGCATGCTGCGAAAGTGGGCTGTTCATATTCTCCCTTGATTTTGAAACGTACATTGGTTAATCCCCTCTCTATATTCCTGTCTCTCAAGTATGCAGGCTAAGTTTTTTTTTAATTTTCAACTTGCTGTAGGCCTTTTTACCTCTTTACTTAAGGTGAACCCAAGTGAATTTTTTACATGGATGTTGCTTATTCTATGGCTGTACTGATGTTTCAGCAACCACCGGTATCGCACCATTGGTAGGTTTTCTATCTGCCAATTTCCAAAGAAGACCATTTAGAATGAAGAAAAAGAGCAAAAAAATTGTCAATGGGCTTGGCAACTGATTCTCAATGGCAATTTTAAAATATTAAGGCTGTCCTGCTGCATCCATTGATGAATGGATTTATGTGAAGTTTCATCAAAACTAGATTTGCATCAACCCTTTGTTGCATAAAAGCAAACTACATGAAATTATGGCTTCAAATTTGTCATACAATTTTGTCATAGCAACACAAGTGCTGAAAAAACATTCCCCACAACCCAAGTGAATTTTTTTACATGGATGTTGCTTATTCTATGGCTGTACTGATGTTTCAGCAACCACCAGTATCGCACCATTGGTAGGTTTTCTATCTGCCGATTTCCAAAGAAGACCATTTAGAATGAAGAAAAAGAGCAAAAAAATTGTCAATGGGCTTGGCAACTGATTCTCAATGGCAATTTTAAAATATTAAGGCTGTCCTGCTGCATCCATTGATGAATGGATGTCATATTCGATAATTGGAGGCATGGTAGGTTTCATTACTCCTTGTGAAGGTCACACCTTTCCCCCAGCACACCCTGATCACAAGCATGAGATTATGGAAGACAGATAGAGGTGTGTGCTTCAATCAAGGTATGACACGATGGAAGACAAACCTCTGCCCGATCGAGGTGAGAAAAGATTGAATCCTTTAGCACAATCCCCCCGATGCATTGATACACTATCAATAGTTCAAGTCGATGCATCAATGTTTTGAAATTTGCTATCATGACAGCCCTAGTAATATGTGGTGGTTAAAAAAAAACACTCCACTGTTTTCTATGGGAGAAACATAGTTTCAAAAATGCAGGGGAAAAATTGCACCAGATACTCGATCTATATTATTACAAGGTGTTGAAATGCTTGCCAGCTTTTTTCAGCACCCCTGCCTAAGTCATGCAATGCCCATTTAGAGGTGAATTAAAGGTGCTTAGAGGTGTTCAGAAAAAAAAACAATACAATCTTTTCAACACCTCCTGTATGTCCAATATCAAAAGTTTATGAATCTCATATTTTTTTACTTGAATACACAAATCATACTATCTCCCCTTTGAAAACAGCAGAGATTTTTTTAAATCACCCTTGGTCCTCCCAGTCAACAACAGTGCTCTCTATCAGGATACAATGCCATCTTACAGAAGTTAAAAAACCTCTTAGACTCATGAACCTCTCTGTCAAGTATCAGCTGCATCCAACTGTCCCTTGAAAAGTTAAAGTTGAAAAATTCATTGAATTCTGAGATGGTTGGGCACATGTAATCACCTCACTTGAGATGGAATGATCCACCTTTAAGCACCTTTAATTCAACTCTAAATGGGCGTTGCACGACTTAGGCAGGGGTGCTGAAAAAAGCTGGCACGCATTTCAACACCTTGTAACTGTCTAATATCGATTGCATATTCAAGGCAATTTTATCCCTGCATTTCTGAAACTGTGTTTCTCCCATAGAAAATGGTAAAGCGATTTTTTTTTTTAACCACCCTATGTATAATACATCTTCCTCATGTAAGAGATTTTCAAATCCAGAAGTAGCATCTCATGTGATCTCCTCCCATGGAATCCTGAAATTGCTTCCTCCTCTTGAAAATCATTCAAAAGATCTCAAATGAAAGACCAGATTGCAGTAGAGCACAGCAGGGATCACTCTCCACGGTCAAGAATGCGAAACCTCAGGGGACGACTTGGGGTGTTGACAAACCTTGTAGCAATGTCCATGTCCTCATGATGGTACTCAACTCTGAAGTTCTGGCTCACCTAGAATTGCAGATTCATTCCAGCTCCATGAAATATCCTAGGAACAAATATTGGCAGATCACAAAATAAAAATTCTTTTGACTGAATGCAATACCTTTATCAGAAGAAGCCACATTTCTTGTTCAGCAATTCTTCTACCAATACAGCTTCGAGGTCCATGGCCAAAAGGAAGAGTTGCAAAGGGATTCACATCACTCCTTTGCCCTCGTAGCCAGCGTTCTGGCTTGAATGCTTCAGGATCTGGATAATATTTCTCCAGGCGTGAAGTGATGAAAGTTACCAGGAAGAACAGTACCTTGATAATTCAAGTAATTCTCATTTTGAAACAAGATAAAAAGCATATGAAAGTTCCACATCAGACCTCTCTTACCTTTTTTGGGATGTGATATCCACCAACCACAACATCATGATCAAACTGACGAAATGTCCCAGCAGCAATAGGATTCAATCTGCAAATGAGATATGACCTTCAGAGAATAGATTCATGAGATTACTCTATGATAATCAACAAAAGGGTTTTTTGTATGTCAAAAACAACCATACACTATGCTCAATGGTGCCCAATTATCACGGAAAATCATGGAATATTACCACGATTTTTAAAAACAGTTTTTAGGGGTCCACCCTAATGAGGGAAACCAGTCAAGAAACTACTGGCCCCACATATTCTCTAAAACCAGACCCCCAAAAGGCCATTCTTGATTCAAACCCTTTTATTGTGTGAACTACCAGTCACATGCAAATGATTTCAACACAAAATTCATTCATCTTGAGAGCCAAACCTAAATTTTCCATTCTTATTTGTTTGAAACAAATGGTGAATTTTCTACAGAAAGTCAAAGTTTGCAAAATGTCTCATTTGGGACCACAACATTTTCCCAATATAAATATTGGAAGCAACACCCATGTAGGGATAATTGTTAACCTGTGTAAGACCAACTGGTGCTGAGCAGCACCTTGTTCTGTTGAATGCCACATAGTTTTTTTAAAATCAGTTTTCAAACTTGAACATTTTTGCAACTTTTGACTGTATTCGACCATGTGGGACATTTTAGAAAATTCCATCTGACGTATTCTTTAAAAGCTCTAAATGTGTGCTTACAAATGAATAAAAATCATTTTCAGATTTCACTTTTCAAGATGAATGAATTTTGTGTTGAAATAATTTGCATGTGACTGATAGTTTATGCAAAAAAAGGCTTGAAATTCAGTCAAGAAGGGCCCCCTTGGGGGGCTGATTTCAGAGAATGCAGGGGCTAGACTCATTTTTTAAGAGTGGTTTTCCAGCATTAGGATGGATTCCCATTACTGTGACCATTTCACAATTTTTTCCAGATGATGAAGCATCATTTTGGTCATTATGATATGGAATGACAAAAAAAAAAAACATGAAAACTTACCTGAGGGTTTCCTTGATGCAAGCTTTGACATAGGAGAGCCCATTTAAGATTTGGGGAGTGATTTTGGTTTCCTTTGTAGGGAGGACTCTCTTGACTTCTTCATGAAGCCTTTCTTGTGCCTCTGGATTACGAGCCAAGTGATATAGGGCAAATCCAATGGTATTTGAGGTCTGGAAAACACAAAGATGGATTTTCACAAGATAACCTTCAGTAGAAACACATATTCAAAAGGGAAATACAGTTTTGATTCCTTCTTCCATGGGAAGTCATTTCAAGATTGTCACAATGAATAGAGGAAAATTGTAACCCCTAAATGGTATGTCACAATGAAAAAATATTCAAGAAATTACAGATCACTCCCACTTGAAATTTGTGAGTGCAAGCTCAGAAGAATATTTATTTCACCCTTTGAGTGCTGCAGATATGTGTGAGTTCCAAGTATACAGACCAATAAGGGCATGGAATTTTTCATTAAACGCCATATCATGAACTTAAAAAAAAAAATTTTCTTTTCTTTAACAAGCATTCCACCTCCATCAGTGCATGACATGGTGATGATATTTCCTTGTATGGACATCCAATTCAAATTTTTATTTCAGTGATAATTCAGCTCACATTGAATAAAAGCATTATCTCTGTAATATATAGAGGGGCAGGGATTCAAGAAAGTAGGTGTGCAATACTCTGACAGATCTAAATCAACTTCAGGAAACATAGTACAAGTAACACAACCAAGCTTCCTGGAGAAATAATTGATTAAGATGGATTCAAGGCGATTCAAAAAAGTACAGCCTCAGCCTCACAGTATCAACTCCAGCCAATAGCATGTCAAGGATCATGACAAGTACTTCTTTTTCAGTCAGAGCAGATTGTGTGAGCAGAGATTCTAATACAGAAAGATCTTGCTCATTGCCATCCACTCTCTTCTGGAATTTCTTTATGGCCTCTTTGATGTATTGCATACCAATCCTGAAAGACAATAAGAAAAAAATTACCACACTAGGAACTAAAATAAATCTCCCTCTGAAACAGGAATATTTGTGCAAGAAGAAGAATGGCTCTAACTCTGTATGTATAGTCAAGCTTTTGATCAGCTTTTTCCATGAGGGGAGAGCAGTGAATTTCCACCATGGCAGGATTGATAACTCATTTCTATTCAGTGCCTCCAACATGTCCACCACAGAATCAATCAGCTTTTGTGGCTCTGAATCTTTGGAGAGATTTGAGTCAAGACAGCCAAGTCGGGAATCTAGCGCAACTAAACCTACCGCTGCAATTCCAAAAGAGGTTTTAGCTAGAATCTGGAGCTATATCAAAAGTGCCTGGCATGAAACATAAGATTTGGAAATTCAAGGTTGCATACACTCAAGTGCCCACTTGTACAATTCATTGATGAAGTCATTAGGAAGTTCCATGTTGGAATCCCTTATCAACTTCATCCTTTGTATGAAGTCTTGAGAAACTCTCTCCATGGGATCCAGATACTGAAGAACTGAGCGTGGCTGCATCATTGGGCGTTGGGCCCGACTTCGGATGTGGTACCAAGGCTCCCCATGGCTACAATTAAAAATTGAACACTACTTTCACTCAACCCCCACAGCCCTGATTTCTTAATATGAAATCTCACATCATGAGGATTCCAGGATTCTCAAGCTTCTCAGGTAGATACTTCTTTCGAGCAGCTGCCATGGACTCAAAGCCTGGACGGACAGGAGTTTTACCTTCCAATCGAAACACCGTCTCAATATCCTCTGGATTTACCAAATGGACAATTGTGTAGCGCATGGGGAAGACTTCACACCATATTGGCCCATACTTATGGTATCTTGACCAATAGAGTTCATGAATTCTATTCTTGTCAAAATGCTCCCCTACGAGATTGGCAGAAGAAAAAATGTCCAGAAATACAAGAATCTAGAAGAGGGAAATTAAGTATTTTCCTATAGGGGACACTGACCTTTGCTTGCAAATGGAGGTATTACATCCCAAATGGTTCCTAACATAGGGATGTTTCTCGTACCAGGAATTTGACTGAACAGCAATGCATTTTTTAATGCTGTGGATTGTTCCTCATTTCTGAGTACAGCTGCAGTTGCCTTGAATCTGTACTGGGTTCCTGTAATTATGTGCCTTCCTGCTTGGCATGGGCCACTTGTCATACACAATAACCTTTTTTGCATGGTTTTCACTATCCTGAAAGTCAATGAAGCGGATATGTTCAAAAACCACGCCTGAAGGGCTGCTTTCAAGACTTAGCCATTTCATCAAAGAATGTATCCATGATAAAGAATCACTAGAATATTGCTGACAAGAATTAGTCCAACAAAGAAATCAGGTGATTTCACAATAAAACAAATACCATGATTAACAATGGCATGATAAATATATTACATGATGCCAAATATGATTGCAACAGATATGGGATTTTATTCACAGAGAGCTGCAAGGACCTGCATGCCAGAAATAACATAAATAAAGCACCAAATTAGCTGGAAAAGCCCAGTTCAATAGCAATACTCCATTTAGAGTAATATAAAAGATGCAGCCTAAATTTGAGGGAAATGAAGATTGGAAGGGGTGGTAAACAATAAACATTGACAAGAAAATGCATGTTAAGGGGAGAGTTCTTTTTTGTGGATATTTGGACTTAGAAATTACTATAGTGAAAGGTGGTGGGGCTAGTTTCATGATGCTGGTTAGGAAAAATAGATGCACATAGGTCCAGCAGGGGACTCCTTCAGCCCATTCTGCCAGTTTGCACTTTTCAAACCAATCAAATTAGCAAATAAGAAATATTAGAATCACCTAAAAAAAAAATATATATATATATATATATTAATAGATTGAATAGAAGACTTCGATGTTCCTCCCAGCCAGAGCCACCCCACGGCAACAGGCAGGAAATGTCCGGCCTCTGGCCCAGGAGAAGAGGGCAGAAATCCATTGAATCCTGGAAACATAAGGAGTGAGAGAGGACTCTAATCGCAACTGCTTCTCCATCACTGGGGAATATAGCCCACACGCCACCCATCACCCCGAAAAAGGGAAGACCAAAAACAGTAACACAGTCAACTTACAAAGCCATGAATACCATAAACTGCTGGACGCAAAGTAAAACATTGACAGTACCAGACAGCAGGTGTTACATCAGTAAAGAACGTAGATATAAAAAGTAGTAGCCAACTACTTTTTATATCTAAGATCTTTACAGATATATATATATTTATATATATATATAAATACAGGAACCCCAAACGAAAGTCTTGACATATTGTGTTCAGAATTGATTGGCATTCAATTACGCAACCACTGACACCAGGCAGTCTCGATAACAGACAGGAACAGGACAACACACCTTGCACATCCTGCCCAAAATGAAGAACAGAAATGTAATGAGTATGATGGATACTTTTAATGTATTTCCTTCCATGGTTTCATATAACAAACATGAAACTAAAAAAGTCAAAGTAAATTTTGAACAGGTCGTCTTTCGGACCCAATTTCAGCTTCCTAATGAAAACAAAGCATGATTACTGACAAGTTTTCAGAAATCTTAATTTTTATTCCAATTATTTTGCAACCAATATTTTCCCATTTCAACAAGAGTTCTTTATCAACTCTATCCTATATGAAGCATAGCTTCTATCAATGCTCATTCATATGTACAACACTAGGTCTTTATGTTTTACAAATTCAAAATTATATTTTTTATATTATTTTACATCAACCTCATCAAAAGTCATCTTAGCATGTTGATTAAACTGCTATGGTGACTCCATGACCAATTCAAGTCAATTTAAAACATCATAACTAGTAAATTTCATTGAGATAGAAGGGCTGAAGCTCATTTCACAGATTGTTCTTGCCTCAACCAGCACGTTGAGCTATAATTAAGCCCAGCCTAGCACTATGTGGCTGGCTCTGGATATTTTTATGGCAGCCTGTGAGATCATTTGAGATGTGGTACACTTGTGGTACATAAATGATATGCTTTAAACATGATGTAAACTTTGACCAGAGCCACTTACATCAAATGCAATTTTCATGGACATGAAAAATAGATGAAAATGCAAGAATTGCAAAATTGCAAATTGCAAAAGAACTCAAAGAATACCAAGGAAAGTGTATTATTGAAGATGAAATACACCTGAAATGAGATTCACTACCACAAACTCTCAGATAAACCTAATGCAAAACTCACAGGATTTCAGAAAGGAATAATGACCTGCATTTACATTCATTGTAAATTGTGAAAGAGTATCAAGCCACAGCATCCATGCCAAACCAGGTATTCACAATTCTACATGGAGAACAGAGCTGTCAAGAGAATGTTGATATTAACAAGCACAACTCACCATTGTAATGGTTTCTAAGATATTCACCATGTAAAATTCCATGACACTGGGAGAGGATGTGAGAAACATCAATGCATGCAAGGGATATCATTGTAAAGAGTAATACAGAGAAAATTCCTCCCTCTGATCAGCATGTGTCCAAAAAAGTAATTTCCTCAGCCACCTTTTGAATGGTTAACTTAGGCTTGCAGCACTTTAGCTGCTGTTGAAACCCAAGTGGCAGCACATGATTGGTTAATTCAGTTTCAAGGGAAACTGCAAGCTTGATCTGTGGCTACTCCAATTCTCAGAGAGAGCAGACCAGCAAATACCATGATTTCTGTGGCATGAAATGGAAAGAACAAGTCTACTTTGAAAAAGAATACTACAGTAGTATCCCAGAGAGTTTATCCTGAGTCTACCAATGGGTAACCTAAGAGCTCTAACCTAATGGCTAAACTAAGACCTCTGGTACACCAAGGAGCACATTACCATGAAGTACTGCCTTTGATGAATAAAACCATCCAGGATTTCAATTTTCACATGTAGTACTTTCCTCATAGATTTTCAATGCACCAAGAGATAATCAAAAGCCATTTATGAAAGTGAAGTGTGAACACCAAATGGTTTCCAGTTTTTCAACTCCTGTGCTTTTTCAATAATTCCAGATATTGTAGTACTCAAAAAAGTTAGGACACCCCCATTTTGCATTAGACTGCTCATGAAAGGAAGGCTCAACTATTAAAGTTTTGGTGAAAATGAGTTAAGGACGACATACTCTTTATTGGTGCTCAAAAATCATTGATTATTCTAAATACCCTTTGGCTGATATGAAGGCATAATGCAGGAGTGACATCATGCAATAAGACTACTGGTTCTGGAAGGTGTCCTTGCTCTTTCCAAAAACTCATATTTTTTGCTCCATAAATTTATTTTCACATGTCTGAAGTAAATGTGCTATTTTTAGTAAGTTCGATTCTTCAGTACTCAACTACTCATCCAGATCAAATGAGTTGGAATATTGCCTTCAGTTATTGTGTTAATCAATTCCTTGGGATATGTTGAATACAAAAATAAATCATTATATGGAATGAAACGGGAGGATCTGCCTTAACCTGTGACATAAGAGCATGGGCTGCCCACTGTGATATGGAAGTTGTCCTATGGTATTTTGAAAGGATGAGATTTGCAGAACACGAAAACTCAACTCAAACTATAAGTCAGAATGACTTGACAAAGACTTTCAACAGTCTTAATCATGTTCTATTCAGGAGTCAGGAGTCAGGAGAGTTAGTGATTTATTCAAACCTAGCTCAGGAGGATGTGCTCCACTAGGGGCATGTACACTGTCACTGTTGTTGCAGACTGAGATTAGGTGACAATATTCAACTGATTGAAAGCATGAATCCTAATCTTACACCTTGATCAAGATTTGTGATCTTGATCAAGGATCTCTGCTACACATTGTGAGAAATAGGACCTACTTTGCTAAGTTGAACTGAGCAGTATCAAGTGGGCATTCTGAATGCCCTTACTGGACTTGAGATTAGTTATGTTAAATAACCATTATGAATGTACCATATGGCTGAAGATGATGAACTGGAATACCATGGCTGGCATGGTCCAAATTAACCCCTTTCCTACGGATGACGTATATTTATGTTGTGGGACTTGGCACCTGGCTGAGGCTGAAATAATATGGTTGGGATGTTGGGCTGGCTCATTCAATCCCATGGTCAAGGGGTTAGGATGAAATTTTTTTACATTTGGTCTTTTTCTTGAGGAGTATTGAAGCAAACATTGCATAGTACAGACACCAGAGCAGAACTTGTGTATACTGGATGAATGGAGATACTGCTGGAGATACCACTATATTCTCAATCAATCCTGAAACAACTCACTAAGTTGAACTGCCAGATGGGTACATTTCAAGACTTAGCCATTTCATCACAGAATTTCTTGATGATAAAGAATCATTAGAATATTGATGACAAGAATGAGTCCAATAAAGAAATCATGTGATTTCACATTAAAACAAATACCATGATTAACAATGGCATGATAAATATATTACATGATGCCAAATAAGATAGCAACATATATGGGATTCTATTAACAGAGAGATGCAATGACCTGCATGTCAGAAATAACATAAATAAAGCACCAAATTAGCTGAAAAAGCCCAGTTTAATAGCAATACTCCTTTAAGAGCAGCATAAAAGATGCAGCCTAAATTTGAGGGAAATGAAGATTGAAAGGGGTGGTAAACAATAAACATTGACTAGAAACTGCAGGTTAAGGGAGAGTTCTTTTTTGTGGATATTTGGACTTAGAAATTACCATAGTGAAAGGGGGGGGGGCTAGTTTCATGATGCTGGTTAGGAAAAATAGATGCACATAGTTCCAGCAGGGGACTCCTTCAGCCCACTCTGTCAATTTGCACTTTTCAAATCAATCAAATTAGCAAATAAGAAATATTAGAATAATCAAAATATAAATATAAATTTATAAATAAAGGCACCCCAAAAGAAAGTCTTAGCATGCTGTGTTCAGAATTGATTGATATTGGCATTCAATTAAGCAACCACTGATACCAGGCAGTCTTGATAACAGGCAGTAACTGGACAACACACCTTGCACATCCTGTCTAATATGATAGTGTTCAACCTGAAGAACAGAAACATAATGAGTATGATGGATATTTTTAATGTACTTCCTTCCATGGCTTCATATAGAAAAAAATGAAACTAAAAAAGTCAAAGTAAATTTTGAACAGGTTGTCTTTTAAACCAAATTTCAGCTTCCTAATGAAAACAAAGTATGATTACTGACAAGTTTTCAGAAATCTTAATTTTTATTCCAATTATTTTGCAACCAATATTTTCGCATTTCAACAAGAGTTCTTTATCAACTCAATCCTATATGAAACATAGTTTCTATCAATGCTTATTCATATGTACAACACTAGGTCTTTATGTTTTACAAATTCAAAATTATATTATTTATATTATTTTACATCAACCTCATCAAAAGTCATCTTAACATGTTGATTATACTGCCATGGTGACTCCATGACCAATTCAAGTCAATTTAAAACCTCATAACTAGTAAATTTCACTGAGATAGAAGGGCTGAAGTTAATCGCAATTGTTCTTGCCTCAACCAACACCTTGAGTTACAATTAAGCCCAGCCTAGCACTATATGGCTGGCTCTGGATATTTTCATGCCTGTAGCAGCCTGTGAGGTTGTTTGAGATGTGGTACACATGTGGTACAAAATGATATGCTTTAAACATGATGTAGGCTTTGACCAGTGCCACCTATATTCAATTTTCATGGACATGAAAAACAGATGAAAATGCAAGAATTAAATGTCAATTGCAAAAGAACTCAAGGAATACCAAAGAAAGTGTATTATTGAAGATGAAATACACCTGAAATGAGATTTGCTACCCCAAATTTTCTTATAAATCTAATGCAAAACTCACAGGATTTCAGAAAAGAATGACCTGCATTTACATTCATTGTATATTGTGAAAGATTATCAAGCCACAGCATCCATACCAAACCAGGTATTCACAATTCCACATGGAGAACAAAGCTGTCAAGAGAATGTTGACATCAACAAGCATAATTCACCATTGTAATGGATTTCTAAGACATTCACAATTATTCACAATGTAAAATTCCATGACACTGGGAGAGGATGTGAGAAACATCAATGCATGCAAGGGATATCCTTGTAAAAAAAAAAAAAAAAAAGTGATACTGAGAAGATTCCTCTCTCTGATCAGCATGAGTCCACAACATTAATTTCCTCAGCCACCTTTTGAATGGTTAACTTAGGCTTGCAGCATTTTAACTGCTGTTGAAACCAGAGTGGCAACACATGATTAGTTAATTCAGTTTCAAGGGAAACTGCAAGCTTGATCTGTGGCTACTCCAATGCTCAGACAGAGCAGACCAACAAATACCATGATTTCTGTGATATGAAAGGGAAAGAACAAGCCTACTTTGAAAAAGAATACTAGTATCCCAGAGAGTTTATCCTGCGTCTATCAATGGGTAACCTAAGAGCAAAATATATATTCTCACAATTCAAAAAACCAACAATATCATGTGAATGGCTGTGGCAAGAAAAAGATCATGCCTTAATCAAATCAGTGCTCTCCATGAAAGTTCATGGAATTGATGCAATTCAAAGATTCTCCCTGGAAAAACAAGGCCACCTTTTATTTAAAATACCAGGGACATATTCATTCTGCCTCCTAATTAACAAATGGCATATGCTGATGAACCTCATATGTTGATGTTATCCTTTGACTGGAATTGTGATACAAAGCAATTCAAAACATATTCCAATACACAAATTAGGTACTTACAGTATGTGCTAAAAAATACTGGACTGCCTCATAAGAAAACGGATTCATCTAGATGATGAATGGTGACTAGATCAACAAGAAGGAATACCTGATTGTTGGATCCCTTGAATGATAAACATCCTGTAAACAAATAGATTTCTTAAATTAAAAAAATTAAATATAAAAAATATAAGCATACATTATACAGCATTGCAAAACACAATGAACAAACTTCACTAAATGCAAAGTCCTGAGGGAAAATTAGTTTAGATAGTTTCTTTGCCAACAACAGAGTGAATGTAAGACTTAGGGAAAAGTGTCACTTCACAAGGGCTACTTAGCTGTCATTGCAGATGCTCCAACCACAGGCAGGTGGTTTTCACCTTTAACAACCTGTGTAAGCTTCATATATGCTGAACCCAAGGAATACTTGAGGTTCTCAAATGGACACATCATAAAGATCTAGCTGGAAATTCAAACTACCTTGAAAGATGTGAGGCTGGGGCATACAGGATCTGGTACATTAAGGAACACATTACCATGAAGTACTGCCTTTGATGAATAAAACCATCCAGGTTTTCAATGTTTGCATATTATACTTCCTCATAGATTCTCAATGCACCAAGAGCTAATCAAAAGCCATTTATGAAAGTGAAGTGTGAACACCAAATAGACTCCAGTTTTCCAACTCCTGTGCTTTTTCAGTAAATCCATACATTGTATTAAAAGTACTCAAACAAGTTTGGACACCCCCATTTTGCATTAGATTGCTCATGAAAGGAAGGCTCAACTATTAAAGTTTTGGTGAAAATTAGTTAAGGACTACAAACTCTCTATTGTTGCTCAAAAATAATTTATTATTCTAAATACCCTCTGGCTGATACGAAGGCATAATGCAGGAGTGACATCATGCAATAAGACTATTGATTCTGGAAGGTAATCCTTGCTCTTTCCAAAAAACTCAGGCTATGATTTTTTGCTCCATAAATTTATTTTCACATGTCTGAAGTAAATGTGCTATTTTTAGTAAGTTCAATTCTTCAGTACTCAATTACCCATCCAGATCAAATGAGTTTGGATATTGCCTTCATCTATTGTGTTAATCAATTCCTTGGAAAATGTTGAATACAAAAATAAATCATCATATGGATTGAAAAGGGAGGATCTGCCTTAACCAGTTATATCAGAGCATGGGCCGCCCACTGTGAGGAGGAAGTCGTCCTATGGTATTTTGAAAGGACAAGTTTGCAGAACTTGAAAACTCAACTCAAACTATAAGACAGAATGACCTTGACAAAGACATTCAACTGTCTTAATCATATTCTATTCAAACCTAGCTCAGGAGGATGTGCTCCACTATGGGAATGTACACTGTCACTGTTGTTGCAGACTGAGATTAGGTGACAACATTCAACTGATTGAAAGCATAAATCTTAATCTTGCACCTTGATCAAGATTTGCAATCTTGATCAAGGATCTCTGCTACACAGTGAGATATAGGACATACTTTGCCAAGTTGAACTGAGCAATATCAAGTGGGCATTCTGAATGCCCTTACTGGACTTGAGATTAGTTACATTAAATAACTATTATGAATGTACCATATGGCTGAAGATGATGAACTGGAATGCCAAGGTTGGCATGATCCACATTAAGGTGAAATTTTCTTACATTTAACCTTTTTCTCAAGGAGTTTTGAAGCAAACATTGCACAGTACAGACACCAGAGCAGAACTTGTACATATTGGATGAATGAAGATAATGATGGAGACTTCTCCACAATATTCTCAATCAATCCTGAAACATCTCACTAAGTTGAATTGCCAGATGGGTGCAACTGACAAGCTAAAATGGAACTGAGAGGCTAAAATTGCAATCCAATGTGAGTTGTCCAAGCTGGTAGGAGACAGTTCATATTTGAATTCACCTTTAGTTTATGCAGCCCTAGAGAGATTCCCAAACAGTGATCAGACAAGTAAGGTTGAGAGGCACCAAAAAAGGCTTATCATTGTCGGTCAATGAAGCGAAACTTCAGTGGCTTGTCAGGAGTGTTCAATAGACGAGTTTGAATCTGGATGTCAGCATGATGGTACTCTATGTTGAAATGCTGAAGCAACTGCAAAAGGAAAGATTGAAGAACTTATATGTTGCACAATCCAATTGAGAATGTAAGAGAAAGGGACAAACTAATGACCCACCTTAGCCAGGACCACCCACATCTCCTGCTCTGCAATCCGACGACCAACACACATCCTGGGACCAAATCCAAAAGGAAGATGAGCAAATGGATGAGATTTAGTGCCAGACTCTCGAAGCCATCTCTCTGGTTTGAACTTCAGTGGCTCATCAAAATATTCCTCCAAGGTGGAGAACATGTATGAGAAAGCTATCACCCATGTCTGTAGCATGATGTGAAAAAAGGCTCATTAGAACACTGCCTAAATAGAAGAATGAATTAAGATAGTGGCAACTTACTCCTTTGGGAACCATATATCCACTTAATGTCACATCCTTTGGCAAGACCCTAAGTATGCCCCCTACGACTGGAAAGAGCCTAAATTGGAAAATATTATTGGTTTTGAAACAAATCATGTGTTTCAACCTTTCACTATTCTACAAAAAATTATCCTCCACCCACTGTGACAAAAAAATTGAGACTGTTTACCTGAAAGCAACAATGGTTCATGTTTAAAATGTCATATCATGAAAACTAATGAAGATAGCAGTTACATACATATCGAGCATGGCAATTATCATGCATAAAATAACCTATAAACAGTAAATGGTCAGAATCAAAGTAAATACTTGAGCTACTACTGCACAAGCAGCATGAGCAACTTCAACATGTACTCAGACAAAAAGTAAAAGTGTTAAACAAGACACAGGAGAGTGAGCTGATTCCAATCAAATCAAAGCTGGCCTGAAGAAACACATAGAGGCAGAAAGACTCAGTCTAAGAGGGTTACAGAGAAGTAACATTCACATAATATCACATAAGCCTTTCATCTGGGATATGGGATACAGTTGTCAAATCTCTTAATCCCAAACCTGAGACACCTGTCCCTAGAAAAGGGGTCGATGGTTGAAAAATCCTGATGTCTGAAAAACATCAAACACATTCCCAGGGTCAGACATTCCCTACCCTACACGTCCAAACACTAAAGTTTTTTCAGATCCAATTGTAGCTCGTAGTCACAGGTTATGTAGCTGTTTGCAATGTGAGTTAATACATAGCAAAAAGAAAACCATCATTATTTTGTGGCCCACCCTGTACTAGCATTCTGCAACACTTTCTGAAACTCAGTATTTTCATTGCTCTATGTATTTTCAGGTCAGTTTGCCTCAAAGAATATGACTTGAATATTCTCACATACCGAAGATTTTCTTTCACACAAGCTTTGAGGTATGAGAGCTCATTCAAGGCAGCAGGTGTTATCACAGCATTCTTGTCTGGTATGGTCCTCAGCACTTCTGCCCGAGCTTTTTCCTGCACATCTGGGTTCTTTGCCAGGTTATAAATGGTGAAAGCAATGCTGTGCGAAGTCTGAAATATGGACATGTTAAAAAGGGAATCTTGTTCGGTCTTCCTTCACATGTTTTGAGAAAACCTGAACTCACAGTATCTATTCCAGCAAGAAGCATATCAAGGATCATGACAAGGACCTCCTTTGGCCTCATCTGTGGGTTTGTCAGCATGGTTTCAAGCACAGTCAGTTCAGCATCTTGAGAGACCAACTTCTCCTTTGCCTTCTCTATTGCCTCATTTATCCGACGTATAGCTACTCTTTTGAGAAGAAACATATGACGATTCTCAGACACTGATGGCATGCTCTCAAAAATGGAAACAGTGGTTATTCCACTTTCACAATTACAACAACTTGGCACTTACTGGGTGAATAAGTCCTGGGCTTTGATGAGCTTTTTAAATTCTCGGGACGGAAAATACTTCCATAGGGGCAGCTTGTTCTCTGTGTAATTCAAGGCATCAAATGTATCTATCACAGCAGATATCATCTGCATGGGCTCAGAGTCTGCTGAGATTCCTTCCTTAAAGCAACCCAACCTTGAATTCAGGGCTACACAACTGATAGCTGCAAGATATGGAATTCATGCATCCTTCAAATCTCAGAAAGACATCTAGAAAACATTACCTGACAAAATGGGTGTACAACACAAATGAAACTTACATTCCAGGGCAAACTTGAAGAGCTCATTTTGAAAATCCTCAGGCATTTCTTGATTTTCGTTCTGCAAAGCTTTAATTCTCTTGACAAAGTCATCAGCCACCTCATTCATCACAGGTAGATAGGAGAGCACTGATTGTGGCTTCAAAAGCTTTTGTTGCACTTTGCTTCGAATGGTATACCAGGCCTCTCCATTCCTGTGCCACAAATAGAGCAAGGACTTAAGTAAAAGCAAAGCATCATCTCAGATCAGAAGAGTCATGCAAACAGTTCTTACGCAATCAAAATTCCTGGATTTTCAAATGTGTCTTTGGCAACAACAGTCCTGTAATACTTGATTGGTGCCAAAATTTCCCTTTCTGGCATTTTCCCCTCATTGCGACACAGAATTTCAATGTCTTCTGGCTTTGTGATGAAGACCAACTTTCCGATCATTGGCATCTCCTCCCTCCATATCACACCATAACGATCATACTTTGCCATGAAGAATTTATGCATCCGAGCCAGATCTGGAGGCTTGCCTGGAAAAACAAAATTGCATAAGGGCCATGCAATAGTTAGAACAGTATGGTGGATGCTGTACCAAGAAGCAAGAATAAGCTTTGCATTTAGCAACTCCGTCAAGAAAAACCAACAATTTAATTGACTCACACCTTAATAAAACATCATAAAATGAAGTCCAACCAAAGTAACAACTTTAACAATGCAGAGTTAAACCTATGTATCTATTATTTCAGCAGGCAATCTACTTCACTTTCTACAAAAGTCTATTTTCAGTTTTAGGGGATTTTTCACAAGTGACTAAGTGGGCCAGGAGTATGTAAAGCTGGGGAGGTACCACACTAAATGACTGCAATAATACTTTGGTTTCTCCAAGATAACCATCTCCTGTTCAAATCTCATATGAGTCTCTGCAGGTGGTGCAATGAATTACTCAATTATCATTGCCATATACTCCATACCATATACAGTAATTGGCCCACCAAATCTTTCCGGTCACCTTGCTAGTTTTATATTCCATTCATGTCTGTGGCACTAGTTCTTCCATGTTGCGGGCAGGTCGCATTTACATCCCTGTCTTTCCAATAAAAATTATCAGCTTCCTTGGCAATGCAAATCCTTTGCATGTTCCAAGTCTTTCTGACAAAAGGGGATTTCTCCTAGGAAGATGCTGGATATATCTACAGGGCTCAGAGACAATGACATAGACATGCAGAATGCAGGAGGGCCATGAGCCATATTGATTCAAGTTGTGAATTTCATATTTATCATCCATAAACAATGAATTTGATGCAACAAACATTCATGCATTAAAAAAAATTTTTTCAAAAAGGATGAAGAGGAAATAAAAAAGAAGGGCAGATATAATTCCTGTTGGCTTGTTCTCAAACCAACAGCTCCCAGGTATATGTAAAGAGACTTTCTCAACATTTTTAAAAAGGATCTACATCCAAAATATCTAAGTGGAAGTTTATGGGTGTGAACATTTGCAGCTCTGGGTAGTCACAATTTTGAAATATGCTATAGGCTTTTCTGTTGAAGGTACTCATGAAGGTACTCTCCCAAGATTCTAAGAATTCCCAACACTGGAATGTCAAATTACATCAAATGGACACTCATTCTCAACTCAGGATATTTGCAGGGATGTCATTTCATAAATCACAGGGGGGAAGGGGTAGCAACATGCTCAAAGGAAGGCTAAGACTCATGGGTGAGATTGGGGTATGTCTCCCTGGCTTCCCTGAAAAGATGTCCCTTAGTATTTGGAATCAAAATCAAGAGAATGTATTACATCCATACAGGAAAGCCCCATAACTCCCTCCTTCTTAATTCCAATCGTTCTACATTGTACATTGCTATTAATTTACCATCCAGTCACACAGATGGTTGCTACATTGAAGAGCAGTATGCAGATAAAGTTTTTGCTCATTTGAGCTTTGAATTCCATTGAGCCCATGTCAATCTCCTAAAAACTCATTCTGGATAAGAGCAATAGTCTACATAAGCATTCATTGGGGGGGGGAAATGTGCAATATGGAAAATTTCCCATTGAAGTGGATGGGGAAACAAACATTTCATTGCTGACAAAACCAAATTCTTCCCTAACAACCATGGACTTTAATGGACTTTTTCACACAATGCAGTTTTAATCCCCTAGCAAGTATGTCTTCAAATCTGGATGAAAAGGGGAGAATGGAAGGATGCCTGGCTTTCTCATTCTTATTCCCATTTGTATAACTAAAAAAATCTTCAGAAATACAGTGACTCATGTGAGTGACAGAAATATAACTCATGAGGAAGAGAGAGGAAGTTTGGCATTTACCAATAAGAGGTAGGGCTTCCCATATTGTCCCAAGAAGAGGAACTCTCTTTGGACCAGGGATCTCATCAAATGGCTTCACATCTGGAGCCACAGCTGTGGCAACTCCTCTCCAGACATGGGATTGAACAGAAAATTTCAAGCATCTTTTGGCATTTCCACAAATAGACATCCTCCCTCACAATGATCTGAATACTGTTTCTCAGTAATCAAGACGAACCTATTCAAGAATCATCCTTAGTATCTCATCGCAAAGACAGGTTCAACAAAGATACTATTTTAATGCCTGATAATGGCATCTAATATCAATGCTACTCAATTACATTGCCCCAGATTGGATGGATTAGTAACTCATGTTGCCTTTCCTCCAAACTGATCCATACCACTTGTTCAAGATGAACCTTGTCTGATGGAAGTGATCTTGTGGTAACATCAAAGACATTCCAGAATGAAGTGTACTGGGAAACAAGAATGCAATTGAGGAAACATACCACAGTATAAACTTAGTTGCTTCAGTCAACATCTGAAACTCATCCAATTAGACATTTACTGTGATTTCAATAAAGTACAGTCATGGAAGATCACATAGGGGCATCCCAAAAGTAATGCCAGCGACTTTGTCTACTGCAAACTACTACTGGCAAAAGGACAAAAGTGCACATGCAGATGGTTTTAAATGTCCACCCATTCCTGGCAAAATGTCATGGTTCCTACTTGGAAAGCTCTGTCATCATGATGATTCAAAACAGTGAAGTGATGAAATTTGCCAGAAGCCAAGAGCAGAATGGAATTTCAAAAGCAAAAGAGTACCATTGACAGACATTCATCATTGAATGATGATTACTTGTGACAAAGCACACTTCTGGGTTGGTGAGTTTTTGACTCTATTTAGAACAACAGTGCATCTCTATTGGTGGTACACCTCTTGAAGGGAAATCAATCACTGCTCTCTGCTTCTGACAAATTTCATTGCACTTCACCTTTTTTAATCACCATGTTGTCAGAGCTTTCTATGTTGGAATCACAATATTTTACAAGGAATTGCAGAGATTTGAAAACATGTGCATGTACAATTTCAACTTTGCGCCATGAGTAGTTTGTATTACCTTTGCAGTGCCCCTCATGCATCCTTGGCAGTCTGTTGACATGATTGATTGAAGGACCTATTCATTCTGCATTTCAGAGAGGCAGAGAGAGATGTATTATGAATATTATTCTGCGTCTTTGGAAAATAGTTGCTACTCTCAGGCTTTAAACACTTGAACCTCTGCATTTACAAGGAGAGTATCCATTTCCATGAGGGAAAAAAGCAACATCCAATTTCTTACTTTTCTTCCTGCAATATAAGTAGTAAATGAAGGCAAACTTTCATGAATAATATATGGAACGAAGCAGTTGATGAATTTTGTGGTGAAAAAGTGGAAAAGAAAGCCCTAATAAGCTCTTCTTCAATCAGTCAGCTACTGGATGCATAGAGATTAGTGAGACAGCTTGCACAGTCACTTCCATCTACTCTGACAGGTTTGAACACAGTATGGAGTAGATAAGGGGCAGAAGTCAATAGCTACAGCAAGAAATGTGGTTAGTAGAGTTTTACTCAGAGTCTCTGTGACCAATTTCATACTAGATAAAAAAAACGGTTTTATGTCTGTCTGGATTGTCACCCCCGTCACGGATACGTTTGTTCCAATAGCAAACGAAAGTTTACCTAGACAATAAAAAACAATTTGCCAACAACTTCTTGCACCCAGTCTCATTGCTGAAATGATTCCTAGCCCAGAATATACCCATTCCATTCACGACTGACAAGTAAAGGTTGTCACAAATGTTCTTGCACAAATGGTGCAATCTCATTGGCTTATCAGCTGAGCCATGCAAAAGGTGCTGCATGTTGTAAGCAATGCTGTCATTAACCCTGTAAGTACCAGAACCTTGATGATCATATGTTTCCCACTTTGCATCATCTCTTCATTCCAAAAGAATCCCTTTGAAATACTTTGCCTAATTACTATCTGATATCACGTCTTCTTGCTAATACATGGAGTATCAGACTTTACAAGTTTACTGTGCAGCCTACACAAATGGCAATATTTTTTGTTTGTTATCAGGGTCCATTGGACACAGAATGGTAGTTACAGTGTTAATTTGTTTAAGTAGACTGATGTCATTATGGAATTTTACAAACATGTTAATTGTATGGTATGGTTCATTTGGCTTTTGCTGGAGGAGCAAGTCAGATTAGAGTTTGAAATTTATTACAGGACATTATGAAAACATCTTGATATTCACACGAGATTAAAACCCTAAATTTTTTATTTTCACTCCAAACCAAATCACACAGTGACAATCTTGTTTCATCAAATGCCATCAAGCAATTTGAACTGCACAGCAACAGCTTATTGATATCTCCAGCCCCCAAAACAAGTGAGGAGTGTTTTGCATGCATGTTGGTAACAAGGGTACATCACACAACACCTACAGTGTGGCTCAACTGCTAAGCCCATGAGGTAGAGGCACTTGTAGATTTTCTGGGATGGGCCTCAAGTATTCCATTGATTCCACTCCCCACTGTACAAGCTGTTTCAAGGGCTGCCAAGATATTGGCATAAGAAACTGCATATGCTGTGTTGCTAGAGTAACCTTCTCACTTCCACTGTGACAGATTGCCTGCAATGAAGATTTTATTTTATTCTCCCCTAGTCTTGCAGTGCACAGTAAGTTCCTTTCCACTGGTGCACATTTCATGCTTATAGCTGCTCTGGTTGAGAAAATACCAGATCCCAAATGATTTACTACATCAGGTAGAAAGCCTAAGGATTGCTCAAGGTTTTTTATTTTGAAAAATCACATGAAGCAGAGCCAGTCAGACCTATTGGTCTGAAAACCTGCTGGTTTCTTGGCTTCAATACAAAAAATGACTGGATGCAATTTCAACCTTCCCATGGCAAAGATGGGATTTGAAAGTCTGAAAGCTCCCTACATGAAGAAGAGTGTCATGAAAATGCAGTGAAGATGGCAACTCATGATTATTGCATTGCAAGCAAAGGTTTCCATAAGTAAACACATCAAGCAGCAGATACAAATCTGTCTTACCAGCACTATCTAACGACTCACTATTTGCTGCTGGTCTTCATCATAAGCTCTTTCCACCTCCCTTTGACGAATTTTTTTCAGTTCACTTATGGCATGCTTTATGTTCTTGCCTCTCTGTCTATTTCTTTAAAAAAATCTGATCTTGAGAGAAATTGGCAAGATTGAGGTTAGATATAGGTGTGAATATTGTGGCAACCTTCAAATCCAACATATGTAGGACAGGCCTCTGCCACTGTTCGGCAGCATGGTTTAAAGTTGGACACCATCGCTATAATGCCGAAGAAATGTAGAAGCTTCTCATTACCTCAGGTTCCATTCCCAACATTAGTTAAGCATGCAAAAATGTAGCAGCAATGCAAAACTTTGGCCTGGATTTCAGATAATCCCCTGGGAATGGGAGCTGAGATAATCAGAAGCTTCTACATTACTTTGACATTATGGCAATGATGTCCAACTTTAAACCATGCTACCACACAGTGGCAGAGGCCTATCCTAAATTTGATTGCACTAAAGGAAGGAGCAAATATTCAGATGATAGCTTGGTTTTGATACATTCAGCCATACTGCTGAATCCCATGTTTTGACTTGATACCATGCCAAATTTAGCTAAATATTACATTTTCATTTTTTTTTTGTAGTTCCTTCACAATATTACAAATTTCTTACGTGAGAATGACGTGACCTATACAGGTCATATGAAAGTAAAAGAACCCCATTTTTTTCCTGCTATTTAGAAGGTCATAATGTGTGTTAAGGTCAGATAAATAATTTAAAATCTCTTTCAGGACATAAGCTGAAAAGGTTGCAATATCAGCAACTTCATTATTATATGCATCTGGATAAATGAAGCTTCAAGAGTTAACATGACTCTTTCAACCTTTTAACTAGTGCAAACTAATTAACTCAGCTGCAGAAGTTTCTCATGCCTTGCAGCAAATATACTGGAGATTATCCAGTCAGAATCCAGTCCAAGAACCAGTCCAATCCTTCACTTCCATAATAAATAATATGGTAAGTGAGGGAACTTATCTTTATTTATCAAGTAGCACAAACCATAGAGCACAAAGCATAAAGCAACTCAGCACAAAAGTGTCTAGAAGAAACGAAAAAGGAACGGTTGAAGGGTTAATACAGCTGAACACATTCACTCTGTCTGCTTATTTTCCTTAATAAAAAAAAATTCATATCCCATTAAGCCTCAAACTACATGGTGATTATTTAAACATACCACTTGGAAATGTTAAGACTTTCAACAGTGAAACAAGAAAAAAGGAAACAAGGCAACAGTCATAGGCACCAATGGAAAATTTATTCCAACCATGCTGCAGTACTTTAGAGGTACTTTTGTAAAAAATAAATCACTGCAGAGATAATATCAACATGTCTATGCAGAAACATAAAACTCATGTGACATAAGTGGGCAAGCAAGCCAGCAAGCAAGCAAGGTAGATTCAGGGAAGGTCTGTCCTGGAAGAGGTTAGTTAAAATAACAGTTTGTGGGAGTTTGAGAAAGAAGTAGAAGTCAACTTGTATAATCTGCTTTTAATCCTATCTCTTATTCACAGAGTTTTCAATAAGTATTGACACCATTCTGTGGCTGATGAAGGAATGGGAATTAATTAAACTATTTTCTGCAGAAGGTAGTGTGCTTGAATGCCACCCACATACAATTGCAGAGATAAAGGAAGCAGTAGTGGGGGGATTTTCAACATTCAGTCCTGCACAATTACACCCTGCATCTTCATCATGTCAATGAAAAGGAAGGTAGACATAACAAAGACATCCTTTTTAGAACGTTTAATCTCACATGTATGCAGATAACTGTTGCCAATCTTCTCATTCCTATCTCCATGGATATAACAGTTGCAGAGCATTCAATGGTAAGATCATCTGCAAAAATCACCTGTATTTACATGCTTTCAGCACCTGGTAAAATTTTGACTATGTGCAAAGGAAGTACAACATGCACTTCCTCAATTCAAATTTCAGAATTGTTTTATAAGTGAGCATAGGTAAAAAAAGATCATAAAGCACATGTGCTAGAATACTGTTACTCATGACAAGAAATAGTCATTCGAGAAGGCCTACTCCCCTGTGGGCCAGTTTGAGCACATTTCATGGATCATAAACAAGACTT